TGGACTCCCCTTTGTACAATCCTATAATGTATATCTGGGGATACTCGCAACTGTGGGCATGAATAACAGCCGAACATTTTTCACGATGAAGAGCGGATATGGAAGAGGGGTCAATGGCTGGAGCTGGAATCTATTTTTCCAGCTGGGGGCTGGGAATTTTAATTAAAGATATTTTGCAAGCAATCCCTACATGTGTGATTTGTTTGTTCATGCAGCTGACTTTAATTTGCCAAGAGATTAGGTTGCTGATTTTGCAGTTTTGGTGGGGATCAACTAAGGGAAGGAGGAAGATGGGTTGGGAAGTTCTGAGGCAGAGGATGAGATGTTTCATTCAAATAACTTGGTTCCCTTGAGGGTGGTGAAGAAAAATTGACTATTAATTGCAATATGTCCATATCTTTAAACAAAAATAATTTGGGCAGAATTAGAAAAATCTGCTCATGTTCTCTTAGATGAAAATGTTCAATTAAAGTAAAAAGAGAAGAATACGAAACAGGAAAATGAAGGCTTTGCTATGTCCCAAGGGTGACAACATTTATTTTCTTCTAGGAAGGCTTAACATTGAACTTATTTCTTCTTNAACATTCCACATCCATACCCCATGAGAACAACTTGCCAGGTGAATCCGTCTAAGATAATGGAATCATAATCTCTCTGTGTGGTCGACACTGGAAGCTTCGGTTGTGGTTCGTCATTTCCACACATCTTTGTCAATGGCAATCCACATAATTCTGGATTTCCTATATATGAACTGTTATCAAACGTAAGAAGCTGCCCTTGCTGAGGTATGGAACCAACAAGATGATTGTATGAAAGGTTAAGGACTGCCATAGTTGTCAACTTTGTCAATTGCCAAGGAATCTCTCCGACCAATTGATTTGAACGAAGGTCCAATGATTCAAGCGAAGTAAAATTTTCCAATGATGGGATATGACCTGTGAAACTATTATTAGATAAGTTTAGAGCGTGTAGGGCCTTGAGCTTTCCTATAGAGCTTGGAATATCTCCTTGAAATTTGTTGTTTGATAGATTGATGATTGAATAGGGTCTTCTGATCTTCCACAGCTCATACTCGATCCCCTTCAGCAAAACAATCGATTCATCTCCACCGAATAAGTATTCGTCGCCAATTTCATTTTCACTCACATTCATCATGGCTTTGAAATTCTCTAAAAATTCAACTGGGAGAACCCCACTGAATTTATTATCGGACATGTCAAGAATTCGCAGATTAGGAAATGGAAGCTTCACCTTTGAAATAGGTATTTTACCATGGAATCTGTTGGACTTCAACACAAGAACTCGAAGCTCCGGAAGAGTTTCCATCCAAAAGGGGAATGGGCCACTTATGTCATTGTTTCCAATATCTAGTTCTTCAAGCACCCTACAATTTACCAATGTGTGTGGTAATGTTCCATTAAATTGATTTCCACTTAACGCCAAACGACGCAGTTTACATCCCTTTGTAAATATTTCAGGAATGGTGCCATGAAAGTGATTCTTCTTCAACTTCAAATAATCCATTCTTTCACCGAATTTAGAGATGTTTTTGGGCAACTGCCCACTCAGTTGATTCATACTAAGATCCAAATACACGAATGTTGTTAAATTCCATATTGTTGGAGGTATTTGACCTGAAAAAAAGTTGTCTGAAAGGTCAAGTTGCGCCAAGTTTTGCAAGCTTCCTATCTCTTGAGGGATATAGCCTGAAAATCTATTACCATTCAGAATAAGAACCATGAGATTTGTCAACAAACCAATTTCAGATGGGATTTCCCCAATGAACGAATTTCTTTGTATCCTCAAACTTGTTAATTGTGTCCAATTTGTGATAAAGTAAGGCAGGATGTGACCAGAAAGATTACTATCAGAGATAGACAATTCAGATAACTTGGTCAGGTTGGTCAAGGATAAAGGCAAGGATCCCGTGAGTGAATTCCCACTTAAACCCAAGTAGGTAAGGTTTGTGCAGAGGCCAAGCTCAGAAGGAATTGTGGAATTGAGTGGGCTATTGATTGAGAGTTCAAGATATTGAAGATTCCTGAGTTTGCCTAAAGAAGATGGGATATAGCCAGAAAATCTATTACCATCCAGAACAAGAGTAGTGAGATTTGTCAACAAACCAATTTCAGATGGGATTTCCCCAATGAACGAATTTCTTTGTATCCTCAAACTTGTTAATTGTGTCCAATTTGTGATAAAGTAAGGCAGGATGTGACCAGAAAGATTACTATCAGAGATAGACAATTCAGATAACTTGGTCAGGTTGGTCAAGGATAAAGGCAAGGATCCCGTGAGTGAATTCCCACTTAAACCCAAGTAGGTAAGGTTTGTGCAGAGGCCAAGCTCATGAGGAATTGTGGAATTGAGTGGGCTATTGATTGTGAGACCAAGAGATTGAAGATTCCTGAGTTTGCCTAAAGAAGATGGGATATTTCCTTGAAATGAAGTTAGTTCAAGAATTTCTAGATTTGGCATCAAGCCAAAAATATCAGGAATTGAACCAGAGAAGTCGTTTCTTGCTAACTGAATACCTTTCAATTTTGTCAGCTTGGTAAGAATTGATTGCAAGGTGCCTTGAAACTGGTTACCCGTAAGGTTTAGATATTCAAGTTTGCCTAAATTGGTGAATAATGATTTTGGAATTTCACCAGTAAAGGAGTTCGTTGACAAATCAAGACAAGTTAGGTTTTGAAGATCACCGATTTGATGTGGAATCAACCCATAGAATTCATTAAATGCGAGGAGAAGGATTTTGAGATTTGGAAATGAAGCAAAATCAAGCTGGTCAAGCTTGCCCTCAAGGAGTGCACCGGTTAAGTTTATCTCAGAAATTGAGGCCTCAGTATTGCATACAACCCCTGTCCAACTACAGAGATTCATAACATTATTGAGGGCCCATGAATCAAGAAAATCATTAGATGATAAGGTGTTCTTCCACCTTACAAGAGCATCTGCTTCTGTTCTCTTAGATGATACAATGCTCAGTGCAAATGGAAGTGAATTAAAAAGGAGAATATGAAGAAGGAAAAGTAAGACTATTTTTGTTGTTTTCATGTTTATTTGTTGTAGGTTTCATACCCTTTTCCCCTTCTTCTTTTATAGCGGTAGTATATAAGAGTAGGAGAAAAAGATGATGTGACAAATATGCAGGCTAGTCAATGAAAATAAATTGAAAGAAAGAAAAAGGAAGCCTTATTTTTCAGTTTGATATTTACATTTCATCAATAATTAAATTGATTTAAATCACACGGCAAAACTCGAAAGACTAGAATGCCAATTGTTCTCAACAGTTTTCGGATTTGAATGTGTGATTAGAAAGTAGAGTATCAAATGATTCATTGCATCATGCTTAGAGAGATTCCTTTCAAGACGTATGTTACAAGATATACCTTCTTAAGTTGTATTGGGCTTGTGCAGTACAGTCCTTATGATGCTCAAGTCAGTTGAAATTAGTTTAGAAACACTATAAGGTATTGGTTGTTAGCTAAATTAAATCCAAACAAAAGAGGACATTAAAGTTTTCGAAGAATCCAAAGAATACATGTCTTGATAATGTGAAGCTCTTTTGTGGTTGATATCAACGACTTCTACGGAATTTAGTTTCACGAAGATATGAAGGAAAGAAAATTATTGAAGTTGATATTTAAAGAAGACCTAATAGAAGACTAAGTCAATCCAAATATTAAGAGAATATGTGTAATAATGATATTTCTAGATACCGTGTAGAAAGACTAACAAACTAATGACAAATGTCAAGACTAAAAAATAATGATAAATGAAAGAAAAATCAAGGAAGTTGAATGGAATTGCTTTGAATATTCATACAGACGCATTGATTGATCCAATTGGGTCGTAAAAGTCTACACAAGTAACACAACCAACCTAAAATTAAGAATAATGCTACTTGCAGTCGCTCACTGCGGCAGTCGCCCTATGTGGCGCACACATGTCAAGTGTGTACTTGATGCTAGGGGTGTCCAAAAGTTCCGAACCGAACTGGACCGAACCGAACCCGAATCGAACCGAACCGAACCGAGCGGTTCTTCATAAATTAAATACCCGAACGGGTACCCGAATCGAGAACCGATGGGTTTGGGTCGGGTCTCGGGTCTAGACCAAGAACCGAAGAACCGAAC